CATTAAAACAACAATACTAGTATTTCTTTAAAGACACATAGACCATTACTGTATCTTTATGATGTGTGCGGGATCTGTGCGGTATGGACCGTGTCTCCCCAACACCAGGCTGCTGGCCATGAGGCACAGGTTACGACATCTCGGTCTGACAGTCTCCTCGTGCTACAGGACCACGAAGTTTTATTATCTGTGACAGCCCAGCTCAGTCCCTGTACCGCTCCCATCACACACACCTCCTGATCCCCGCTGCGGTCTGCCCTCCAAAATCATGGATCAAGTTATCCCGACCGACAGAGATTTATGGTCCCACTTTCCTCTCATTAAATTTCCACAGCTGAAGGAAGCTGAGACCACTCTGTGCAGACGCCTGGTCTGGGAGCGCCGCCACGGCTGTTTCCAGCCAGGGGACAAAGTCAGCAGAGAGGAAGCCCAGACGCACTAGCCAGGCTCCAGGTGGCCATCACTGACCCAGCCCCGCTGTCCTAAGCTGTCATCCCGCCTCTGTTTGGCCCGTCTGCCAAGGCTGGCACTGCCCTGGGAAATGGCGACGAAATAAGAGCCATCTCAGGAGTGCTGCTAGGACCCGCAGAGAGCGGCACAGCCCGGGGTCCCTGACACAGAGCCCCTCTCATATAACCACATCTTCTAGGACAGACACACACACCAGGAGCAGCCCCACTTTCCCAAAAAGGAAGATGAGGCCAGAGAGGTCGAAATGGCCCAAGGCACCCAGGGGTTCACCCCCAGGCACCTCTGCCCGGCTCCCCAGAGCCTCCACCCCACACAACCCAGGCAAGAGCCCAACCAGGACTTGGCCTTGGGAAGACCCCTCTGCCCCCAGCCAGTCCCCCAATTCCACACACAGGGTCACCACTCCACAGGTTCCCTAATTGTCATAGTTTTTAACAAAGAAATAGGCACAAATAGCTTAATCAGAGTAAACAGGTCTGTAGGCTCTTTAGGAAACAGCCACTCCACAGTTCTCACCACCCAGGGGTCACCTCGTCTCAGCTCAGAGGAGCCTTTTGGCTTTCTCTGAAGTGCTCGAGTTTTCTGTGTAAGACATAGCCCAGCGGGGCCAGGCTCAGTGGCTCACACTTGTAATCCCAGCAGTTTGGGAGGCCAAGGCAGGAAGATCGCTTCAGCCCAGGAGTTCGAGATCAGCTTGGGCAGCAAAGTGAACCCCATCTCTACAAAACATTTTTAAAAATTTAGCCAGGCCTGGTGGCGTGTACCTATGGTCCCAGCTATTCAGGAGGCTGAGGCAGGAAGATCACCTGAGCCCAGGGGTTCAAGGCTGCAGCGAGCTATGATCATGCCACTGCACTCCAGCCTGGGCAACAGAGCAAGATCCTGTCTCAGAGAAATAGAAAGGAAGAAATGTTTATGAAGTACCCACCATGTGCCAGGCAGGGGGCAGGACTCAGCAGTGAACGGTAGAAAGGAAGAAATGTTTATGAAGTACCCACCATGTGCCAGGCAGGGGGCAGGACTCAGCAGTGAACGGGCAAACCCTTCCTGCCTCAAGGAGGTGGCATGCTGAAGACCCCCAAGCCAACACACAGTCTCTACCCAAAACGCGCATCAGACAGGCCTGTGCGAGAAAGGCCTGACCTCCCTACAGTCATGGAGGGCTTCCCGGCAGAGGAATGCTTGAGTGCCCAGGAGCTGGCTGGACAGGGAGAGGAGCATCCGCAGGGGACTCCAGTCTGCATCTCTGGGCTGATCCAGGAGGATCAGACCCCAAGGCTCTGAGGAGGCTGCCGGCTGTCCCCGCCTCAGTGGCGGATGTAGGTCTCAGGGAGGGGCCCACCCAGGGGCCTACCCACCCCAGCCTGGGCCCTGTGTGCCGCTGTGCCACACCTTTAGAGCAATCTGAGGAGGCAGAGCAAACCCTCACAGGACAGAGGCAGGAGATGCTAGCACCATGCCCAGGTTTCCCTACCAGGCCCAGCTCCTGCCACATCTCAGGGCCCTGGAGCAGATCCCACCCCCCAACTCCCACAGCCCCATGAGGCCCTCGCCTGCTCACCCTAAGCCTGTCTTTCCATGAAACGTAGATATTTGGTTCATTGTGAATTTTTCCCATTAACTTAGATTTCTTAAAAATAATGCATTGACCGGGCACAGTGGCTCACGCCTATAATCCTAATACTTTGGGAGGCTAAGGCAGGTGGATCACCTGAGGCCAGGAGTTCAAGAGCAGCCTGACTAATATGGTGAAACCCCATCACTACTAAAAATACAAAAATTAGCTGGGTGTGGTAGCGCATGCCTGTAGTCCCAGCTACTTGAGAGGCTGAGACAGGAGAATCACTTGAATCCAGGAGGCGGAGGTTGTGGTGAGCCCAGATAGTGCCACTGCACTCCAGCCTGGATGACGAGCAAAATTCTGTCTCAAAAAAAAAAAAGTTAAATTTAGGGTTACCATAAGCCCCATCAATTCCACCCAAGAGGACTAAGGGCAAGTGTTCAACCAAAATCTTCACACCATGTTCATTCACACCAGCAGAAAGTGAGACCACCAAGCATCCCTCAGCTGATGAATGTGGTCCAGCCATGTCCAGGAATATTATTCAGCCAGGAAAAGGAGTGAGGCCCGGCTGAGCCTTAAGAACATGGTGCTCAGAAAAAGAGCTCAGACATGAAGGGGCCAGTACTCTAGGGTTCTATTTTCATGAAATGTCGAATAGGCACATCCATAGAGGCAGAGATGCTAGCGAAGTGACTGCTGACAGGTACAGGTGCTCCCTGAGGTGATGAAATGCATTGGAATCAGATCACAGTGATGGCGGCACAGACTTGCAAAGGTACAAAATGGCACTGAGCGTTCACCTTGAGATGGCCGCAGCGCACCCCAAGCAGAGGCTCCCAGGGAGGGGACGAGGCGCGACAATAAAAGGAGACTTTGGTCTTATTTGCCGCATTTAGTGCTTCGCAGGCGGGTGGGGGGCCTCCGTGCAGTTCCTGTGTTATCAAAAAGTAATTTTTAAAAGAGGATGCCTACGTTATCTTCAGTGAAACAACTCAGACACAGAAAGACAAATACTGCAGGTTCTCACGCATAAGAGGGAGCTGAGTCACATGTGCTCACGAGAGTGTGGACGGATGGACAATGGGGGCGTGCAGGGTGGGGGGCAGAGAGGGCGGGTGGCTGCTTAGGGGTGCCACGTGCATCGCACTTCGACAGACACACCGGAGGCCCTGCCCTCACCACAAGGCAACTTCTCTGTGCACAAAACTGTATCTAGACCCCAGGAATCCATACAAACAAATCATGGGCCCGGCTCAGTGGCTCATGCCTGTAATCCCAGCACTTTGAGAGGCCAAGGTGGGGGGATCACAAGGTCTGGAGTTCAAGACCAGCCTGGCCAACATGGTGAAACCCCATCTGTACTAAAATGCAAAAATTATCCGGGCTAGGTGGCAAGCACCTATAATCCCAGCTACTCAGGAGGCTGAGGTGGAAGAATCCCCTGAACCCGGGAGGTGGAGGTTGCAGTGAGCCAAGATCGGGCCGCTGCACTTCAACCTGGGTGACAGCGAGACTCTGTCTTAAAAAAAAAGTATGATAACATAAAATAGGGTGAGTAGAATTGAGACCATGTGGAGGGAAGATGGGGGCTTTGTCCTTCCTCCCACCAAGAAAGCCTCAGGCCCTCTACCTCCCAGGTACCCAGGCAAGGCCCGAATCTGTGCCCTTCCCACCCAGTGCAGCCTGGCCCGGGGGCAGACAGCACCCACCATCAGGATGCCCCCCAGCCAGGCCAGCAAGGGCTTGTCTGCAGGGAAGGTGGAGACAGGCCCAGGTCATCACAGAAGGCAACTCCCCTGTTCCAGGGCCATGCTAATAGGTGACGCATTTATCTGGAGGCCAGGACTGCAGGGCTGACCTGGCCTGGCCATCACATTGCCCACCCCATCCCTTATCTATCACTCCAGCAATACAAATACCAGGCAGCAGCGCTGGCTTGCCGGCTTTTCAAGGTGCATTTACAGCGAAATGCCTTTGAAGCTTATCTCCCACCCCTCCCAGCTCGGGGATAAAAGGCAGGAGAGCAGCCTCACCCCTGGGGCGGGGCATGGTGCCCCCATCTGGTGCAGGAAACAGACATGGAGGGCCATGGGGAGCCCTCTTGACCCCCCTCCCCAGGCTCAGCAGCTCCAGCCCCTTAGGTGCAGGTGGGGGTGGCTGCTGGGGCTGGGAGGCCACGAACCCCCTAGGGGCCTCATGCCTCAGCTGTAGAATGAGGCAATGGCACAGTCCCCGAAACTCTGAAACCAGGCTGTGGTTTGCCAGCAGTGTGTTGAGGGCCTGCTGTCTGGTTCTGCGATGCTTTCTGTGAGCCTGGACCCCGGCGTCTGGGTGTCCATCGCACTGCCCAGCTCCTGGCTGATCAAGATTCTACAGACGTTGGCTGAATTAACAGGGGAGTGATGCCAGGAGGAGTCCCCCTTCATCCTCATCAGCCTGCAGAGAATGAGGACATACAGGCTCAGTGGCTACTATGTGCCCGACTCTAACAGCCAAAAGACCCCTAAATGTGTGGGTCACATTCATGGCCATTCACGTGCCTGGACAGGGCCTAGTGGACGGCCAGGAAATGGGTCTTGGATGGTTCCACGAATGAACAAAGGAGCACACAAACGAATGGCTGTAGAGGGACTCCAACCTCCAGGGACATCCACCCTCCTCCTCCTCTTCCAGCCTTCCCTCCATCTCTGCCTGAGGTGCAGGTGCAGTGCCAGGGGGCCCACAATGTGGCCTGGAGTTCAAGGTAGGAGGCTGCGGGCCCAGGGGTGCCGCCTTCCCCCTGGGGACCCAGCCACAGGCACAGCCTGCAAGGGCCCCTCTGTCCTGTATCACCAAGAACTGCACACGGCGGGGTGGGGTCCCTGGCCGATCAGGGAGGACAGGCAGGCTCGAGCACTGGGCTCAGGGCAGGAGGGCACTTGGCATCACCCAGGGAGGAACTCAAGGGCGAGCCAGTGGTGTTGGACAGGAGCTTTTATTGAAGCAGCCGTGCATAGCAGCAGCACAGGGGCCCCTCCTTGTGAGGCAGGTCTCCCCATAGGCAGTGAGCCCAGAGCAGCAGCTCAGAGGTGGCGCTGCACTCGCATGCACTCTCGAGGCTGCAAGTTCAAGATCAAGGCACCAGCTCGGTCCGTGTTCAGAGAGGACTCACTTCCTGGTTTATAGACAGCACCATCTCAGGTCCTCACGTGGTGGAAGGGACAAGGGACCTCCCTGGAGCCTCTTGTGGAAGGACGTTGACCCCCTCAGGAGAGTGGCAGCCTCATGACCTCGTCATCCCTCACAGGCCCCGCCTCCTGACGTCATTGCCTTGGGGGTTGGGATTTCAAAGAGAATCAGAGAACATCCAGACCACAGCACAAAGCAGCTACACGTGTGCACGCACGGATGCACACACATACAACACACGCACACACATGTACAACACACAGGCGCAACACAGGCACACACACAACACAGGCACATGCACAACACAGGCACACACACGAAACACAGGCACACACGAAACACAGGCACACACAACACAGTCACACACAAAACAGGCACACACAACACAGACACACACGAAACACAGGCACACACACACAACACAGGCACACACAAGAAACACAGGCACACAAAACACAGGCACACACACGAAACAGGCACACACAACATAGGTACACACACGAAACAGGCACACACAACACAGGCACACACACGAAACACAGGCACACACAACACAGACACATGAAACAGGCACACACAACACAGGCACACACATGAAACACAGGCACACACAACACAGACACATGAAACAGGCACACACAATACAGGCACACACACGAAACACAGGCACACACACGTGCAACACACAGGTGCATCATAGGCACAAACGCACACACAGCATACATATTTGCAACACATGCACACACACATGCTCACATGCACACATGTGCAACACACGTGCACACACATGTAACTCATGCACATACGGGCACACATGCACAAGACATGCACATACACATGCTCACACATGTGCACAGTCCCCACACAGGTACACACCAAACACGCCAGCAGCAAGCAGACCCCATTCACAAAGGGCCCAGCCAGGAGCAGGGAGGCAGCCTGAGGAGGGGCCGGCCAGAGCTGGAGTGGCCCCCTGCTGACCACAACCCCCTCCCCAGAGCCCAGCCCTGAGTGGGAGGGGATCGTGGGGCCAGAGATGACCCAGCCCTCATCCCAAGCCCAGAGCTGGGCCTCCAGACACCAGCAGGGGCTTTTTGGGGGAGCAGGAAGTCCGTCTTCCCCTCGAGGCAGGGCTGCAGCCCAGGCCCCCAGGCTTCCTCCTCTGAGCCCTGTGCATTCCTGGGTCCACTTGGGTGCCCTGAGGATCGTGGCCCTAAGGACTCGGGAACCCCCGCTGTGCTTCTGTGTGGAGCTCAGACAGGCTGAGAATGAGGGAGGTGGGAGGAGGGAGTGGGGAGGGGTCATGGGTAGGACACGGGGGTGGGGCATGGGGGTCAGGGCCACGCTCTTCCCCACGAGTACAGCTACAGCGTCACCATCCAGGGAACACACATGTGAGACCATAGTGTGAGGCTGCTCTAGCACCTGTCCCCCAGCCCATCTGCCCCCTTGGGCTCCACCTGGTCAGGGACACCAGCCTACCTGGAGACCAGAGAAGGCCACTCACTGAGCACACGCAGACCCCGAGCAGATGGGCAGACCAGAGGCCACCACCTGCCCAGTCCCCCGCAAGTGGAAGGCCCACTGTCCCAGGCAGGGTGGGACATGCTGGGTGGGTCGCTTCCAATAGCAGCTGCTGGATTTCCGTCCACTGGGCTTGGCACAGACAGGCCTTGAACTGATTATCCCCAATTTATATACAGAGAAACCAAGGCCAGAAAGGGGATCGCCCATGGGAGCTGAGTTATGAACAGCAGGGGGGACCACCTGGGTCAGAGGCTCTACCACCTGTCCCAAGCTGCAGACTCGGCACACCTGCTCACTCCCTCATGCAGCCCCCCACCCGAGCACCCCTGCAAGCCCACACCCTCCCTGCCCAGGCCCTTCGTGTCCAGGCCCCAGCCTGGACTCTCGGTGCTGACAGCTTGGCTCCCACTGCAGCAAGGCCACCTCCTGCGATTATAAGGAAACAATCCCATCCCTTGTGCCTGCAGACCTGACCTGTCTGGCCACTTTCTGAGAGCCGGCGGGACCTGCCTGGCGGCTCGGGCAGGCTCTGCCTCCTTTCTGCTCCTGGCTGGGAGAATCACAAACCTGCCAGGCGGGTTTGGCCAAAATCATGTCTTGCTGCCTGTGCAAGCTCTCTCGCCACTCACTGCTCTCTCTCCCAGTGGACAGCGTGGGGGCTCGGCACAGAGGTCCACGGAGGTCGAGGCAAGGCCAGGGGCCATGTGAGTACCGGGGACCCCAGGGACAAGCAGCTAAGCAGCGGGTGGGCTGGGCTCCCTGGCTGGGGCACTCACCAGGGAGGCTGGAGGCCCAGCTGAGGCTCTTGAGAGGAGGGCCATGGGGGTGGGTGGGACGGGACGCCTTCCCTATGGGATGGCACAAGGCTGTTTCCGCTCCAGGGACCTAGCAACAGAGAGAGTTCAGTGGGCTTCCCAGGCCAGGAGCTGGGGGCAAAGAGGCCAGGCCTGGTCTCGCACCATGACCCAGGAAGTGTCCCTAGTCTATTGAGGGGCTTGGGGGATCGGGGATGGGCTGCTGGCCTCACCCTCCACCCTGGGCCTGCCCCGCCCCACCATCCAGGTTCGAAAGAGCATACCTGGGCGCAGCCACGGGGGTGAGGGAGGTGCCAGGGTGCAGAGCCCACAGCTGGGTGCTGAGCAGGGGGACTCCTCTGCCACTGTGTCTGTGGGGAGGCAGCCATAAAGGCAGACCTTGCTCCACCCCCTCCCCCATGGCCAGGCCTCAGGGAGGCAGCTGGCGGGCAGGAGAGCAGCCTGGCCCACCTCCGGGAGGGAGTCAGGTTGCAGGGCTGCTGTTACCTGAGCGGCAGGGACACCTGCTGCTCTGTGCATGTGTGCACGCAAGTGCATGGGGGGGCACAAGTCTGTGGGATACATGCGTGCATGTGCACACACAGAATGCGCATGGCAGCTGTGTGCACAGCAGGGGAGGGTGTCGGCGGCGATGCTGGGCGTCTGCTTTTTGGACCAGTGTGTGCTCTCCAAGTTAGGATGCCGCTGTCCATGTGTGTGGGTGTGGGTGTCACTCGTGTGCACATGTCTGTTGTGGGTCTCTGTGTCTGGAGGACATCAGAAACTGCACTGGCAGAGACATCTCTCTGGACATACCCCCCACATCCCCCGACCTGAACTGGCCTGGGAGGTCACAAAGAGGCCCTGGCTGTGTTCTGGCTGTGTACTTGCACGCTGGGGACAATGGACAGGTGACCTCTGAGCCTCAGCTTCTTCCTCTACAAAGTGAGGGTTGCCTCGGCCACACCATGGGCAGGTGTGAGGCAGCTCCACTCCCAGGCTGTTCCTGGCTGCCTGGCCCTGATCTGGCATTGGGGCACCCACCAGGTGCCAGGTCCCTTGACAGCCCGCAGGAGCCTGGGTCAGAACTGACCACTGCCGTCTGTGCTACAGAGGCATGGCCAGACAAACTGAGGCATGGCCAGACAAGCAACCTGGCCAAAGTCTCCATGGGAGAGACTTTGCCCATTACCGCAGAGGGTGGGAGGAGACTTGGAGGCCATGTCCAGGCCCAAATCTTGCCCTACCTGCTCATCTCTGATCTGATTCATTCTCTAAACCGGTAGAATGAGACAATCAGCACTTCATCCAAGGCCAGGTGGTCCCCAACCACATGCGTGTGTCCAGCCTGGCTATGCAATTGGTGCTCCATGGGGCTAGGCAGGATGTGGACGGGGACAGAGACAGGTTGAGGTGCAGAGGGCACCACTCTGAGCTTGGCTTCCTCAGCAAAACTGCAGGATGGTTTCAGTGCCCATGCAAGTGGAAAAAAAGCCTGGGCATGGTGCTCAGCACAGACCAGCATGAGAGGAGCATCAGCTACTGCCACTGCCACTGCCACTGCCATTGCCACTACCACCACCACCATTGTCACTGTGATTGCTACTGCCACTGTTACTGCCACTGCTACTGCCACTACCACTTCCACTGCTACTGCCACTGCCACTACTGCCACTACCACTGCTACTGCCACTACTGCTGCCACTATCACTACCACTGCTACTGCCACTGCCATTGTCACTGTGATTGCCACTGCCACTGCTACTTCCACTGTTACTGCCACTGCTACTGCCACTACCACTGCCACTGCTACTGCCACTGCCACTACTGCCACTACCACTGCTACTGCCACTACCACTGCTACTGCCACTAACACTGCCACTGCTACTAACACTGCCACTGCTACTACCACTGCCACTGCTACTGCCACTGCCACTACTGCCACTACCACTGCTACTGCCACTACTGCTGCCACTATCACTACCACTGCTACTGCCACTGCCATTGTCACTGTGATTGCCACTGCCACTGCTACTGCCACTGTTACTGCCGCTGCTACTGCCACTACTGCCACTGCTACTGCCACTGCCACTACTGCCACTACCACTGCTACTGCCACTACTGCCACTACCACTGCTACAGCCACTACTGCCACTACCACTGCTACTGCCACTGCCACTGCCACTGCCACTACTGCCACTACCACTGCTACTGCTACTACCACTGCCAATGCTACTGCCACTACCACTGCCACTGCCACTACTATTGCTATTGCTACTGCCATTGCCACTGTCACTGTCACTGACCACCACTGCTGCTACTGCTATTGCCACTGCCATTGTTACTGCCACTGCTGCTGCCACTACTGCTGCCACTGCTACTGCCACTGCCACTGCTGCAGTGTCACCATTGCTCCTGGATAGGTGGGCAGTCACTCAGATGGACACACAGACAGCCCAGGTCTCAGAGACGGAGGGTACCCGGGTCCAGCTCAGCACTCCTGCCCTAAAGGGCCTGCTGGGGAGCAGTGGCTGGGGTGAAGAGCAGCCAGCCTGGCAGACATCCTTGAGCCCTGGTGCCCAGCGGCTCCTCCAGTTGAGTGCCCTGGGAAGGCGGGGAGCCCAGTGATGCCCTGATGCCACCTGCTTAGAAAACAGAAGCCCAGGGGCCCGGTCTCCCAGAGGGCAGGGCAAGAGCAGGCAGCATTGTGGGCTTTGCCACTCGGCCAGATGATGCCCAGTCCCACCAGGGCCATGGCTGGGCCTGTGGTTCCCTGGCCTGTGTGTGGGAGGCAGGTGGCACCTCCCCTGGGCACAGCCACAGAAACACTGTTAGCCTGGTGGAGTCCCTAGTGAGCGGCTGTCCAAGGATGAGGAGGAAGCTGGACCTCTGCCCTGAGGGTGGGGAGGGCCACGTCCCCCTGCACAAAGTCTTTGTGGCAATGGGACTTGACCTTGTCCAAGTGTGGAGGGTCCTGCCATCAGCACTGCTAGACCCCTGGGGACCCACATGAGGGAGGCGCAGGTGAACTCAGGGTCTCCCTCTGCTGCTCACTGAGACTCCTGTCCCCGGAGCTCGTGGCCAAGCAGGCATCACCTGCTAGGAGCTTCATGACAGCCTGACACAGGGGCAGGTGAGCTGTCACCCCCAAGCGAGGACACAGGTTCAGAGAGGAAAAGCAACATGCCCAAGGTGGCAGAGAGAGCAGACCGGTCCCAGAGCCTCCCCAGGGCTGTAAACTGGGAAGCCCACACCATTAGCCCCCTGCACAGACAGACTCTCCAGCCAGCACCCTTCAGGAGTGCGACCCTGCCCCCCGCCCCAGCCAGCTCCGCATGGGGGGGTGCACCCTCTCTGCTGCGGCTCTGAGAACCCATCGGGTGGGATCAACAATAGCAAACCTCTACCCTCTGAGCGGCCACTCCAGAGGACCCTAGGAGGGTGGGTGGGGGCCCTGGGGGACAGGCAGAGCCCACAATGGATGTTCGTTCCCTGGGTGAGGACACGAGGTAGAAGGTGGTCTGCAAGCCTCAGGCTCCCGTGGAGGGCTCTCGTGGGCCCTGTTGGGGGATAAGAGGCACTGGTTTACTGGATTCGCTCTGTTCCATCCTGGTGAGAGCAGCACGCTGCCCTACGGTTGTAGGAGCAGTCCCTGGAAGGCGCAGGAGTCCCCAGAAGGCGCAGATGCTGGCGACAGTAGCACCTCATGCAGGAGGCTGGTGTGGGCCTGGGTGAGCCGAAGCCCAGCCCCGCTCTTGCTAGCTTTGACCGTGAACCAGACCCCACCTCTGGGTTGTGTTACCAGTGGCAAAATGGAGCAGAGGGTGAGGCATGGTGGAGTGAGGGTGGTGTAGACCAGGGGCAGCCACGTGCCCCTCACACCTGTCCCTCCCACGGCCCGGCTGAGAGCCGCTGTTGGGACCACAGCTGACCAGCCTGCTCTCCCCCTGCCCTGCTCCTTCCAAGGGGCCTCAGCACCCGCAGAGAGCCTCCAGCCTGGACTTCCAGAGTGGGAGGGCTGCGGTGGGAGGAGTGGCTGAGGATGACCCTGGACCAGAGCTCAGGTGTCTCATCCAGCCATGTGAAGCCCGCATGAACCGAAGCCCCTTCCCTCCCCCTCCCTGCCCCTCCCCCTTCACACTCTGGCAGGCTTGTTCCCCTTCACAGCCCTACTGCAGCCCCCACCCAGGCCTGAGCGAGACCTTCCTTCCCAGTTCCCCTGGCTCATTCCCCTAGCTGCCCTCGGCAAGCCGGATAAACCCAGAGAAGGCAGACTTGGGGAAAAAAAGCCAGCCCCATTGACCCCCCTGCTGACCTCTGGCATGAGGGTGCAGGTGCCCGTCTGAGTAAATTTCTACAATCCCGGTTCATTTTGCTTACAGCTGCCAACTTCTCCCCAAAATCACCAGGCTGGCAACCTCCCTCCCTCCCCTCCCTTCCCAGAGCTCCTCGGCACTCCAGGAGGGTGGAAGCTGGGACTAGAGCTGCCCCAGAGGTGGCTGGAAACCAGGAGACTGATCCTGGCCACCCTGCATCTCTGTCACCTGCTGGTCCTGAAGGAAGTCCCCCCAGCCCTAGCTAGACACTGTCACTCAAGGGCCCAGTGGCCTTGCCCAGGCCCACTCCCACTCTGGGCCTCTGGGAAATGAGGGTCCCTTGCAGGGTGCCCCAGCAGCCCTGCCTGTCTGCGCTATCCCCTGCCCAGCATGATGGGGACTCTTCCTGCTGTCCTTTGGGGACCTTGAGAGTGGCAGCCAGGTGGAGCCTGCAGTTGGGGCGGTGGGACACAGGAAGGAGCCTGTGAGTAGGAGGCTCTGCACGGTGATGACGTCACTGGGAAGGAAGCCCACCTCTTGCCTGGACCCCCAAGGCCTATCCAGAGCCCGCAGGCACCATGGGCTCCCTTGGGTAGCTCCTTTATGGGCGTCAGCCCAGCCCACATGGCAGGTGCTGGGGGCCGGGGAAGAGCAGCATGTTGGGCGGGGCCGGGTGCAATTTCAGGAGCTGCAGCTCAGCCCCTTCCTGGCCCTCCTCGGCTACTTGAGCCTAGGGAAGCCCTGGCTCCGGTGCCTTCCTCCCAGGGGGCCCTTGGCCAGGAAAAGTCAGAGCAGCCGGGCACACCGGAGCCATGGGGAAGACGCCCCAGTCCACACAGGCGGAGCACACAGGACCCACAACCCCAGGACCCACCGGGCACCACGCAGATCCCACTTCCCACTGGGTGACTGAGACGGGGGCCTGATGTGTCTGCGCCTCCGTTTTCGCATCTGGAGAGGGGCTTCATGGTGTGGTCGAGATTCCATGGCTGTCGTGAAGGTCTCAGTGTGTATGGAGTTTGGGAAACAAGGCCAAAACCACTGATGCTGGCCACGTGACCAGCATCCCATGGAATCTACGGTGTCCCCAGCCTCTGGAGCTCAGCGTCCTGTTGGTCCCCTTCCCTGGCACTGGCCTCCTGCCCAGGAGGCTCCAGGTCTTCCTCATCCCAGCATCCCTCACCCGCCCAACACAGAGCAGCCGACTGTCACCCCCACCCCCTCCGAGGGTGGCTGGAGGTCCCAGAGCCCAGCTGGGTCTGCGGACTGAGCCTCTGGAGCCCAGCATCCTGGAGCCCCGCCCCCCACACAGCCCACCAGCCCTGTCAGGGGCCCTCAGGGGTGCTGCGGCCACCTCCAAACACAGGCCACACTCTGTCCCACACCCCTCACTGCCCCACCAGACCCAGCACTAACGCGTTTGACAACAGCACATGGGCTCAGCAGGAGTCAGGAGACTCTCCTGCCAAATGGCTCCAGTCACCATCCCCTCCCCAGGCCCTGCAACTTCTCTCTGGGTCCAAGGCCTGCCTCCCTGAGTCAGAGGCACCCACCACCCCAACTTTCAGGGGCCCAGGGCAAGTGCCTCTTTCTGTGTTCGATGTCCTCTTACGTTTGGCTTGGGTGGCTTGGCCACGCTGGGATGGGCATGGGCTGGGTGGCTGCCATTCCGCCCATCATGGGACAGGATTTGGGGGCCCGTTTGGGATGGCTGTATAGAGTACTGCTGCAGATAGCACCCTTGTGTGGCGTCTTCAGGCTGACCTTTGAGAACCCAGATGCAGCCACGGCTGCTCCCGTCTGTGACCCGCTTGGGCTGGGCTGGCTGTGGCGAGGCCTTGGGCGTGGCCTCCAGCTGCAAGCTGGAAGTTAGGTTTTGAGCAGAGCAGTGTGCATCTGAACAGAGACCAGAGCTTCCCAGGGACGGCCACCCTGGAGAGTGGTCCTGGAGGGGCTGGGGGTAGGCAGGGGTTTCAGGGGAGGCTGAGTGGGGGGCCAGGCAGGCAGGCAGGGAGGAGGCCCACACAGATGTTCAGGTGATACACCAGCGGTTCTGCAGCAGGTTGTGCACGAACACACATGCACACTAGCTTGAGTGCACACATACAGGGTAAAAACACATGCACACACGGCACACACGTGCACACTGGCTCCAGAGTGCACACACACAGCACACACACCCAACACTGGCTTCACACGCCCAACACACATGTGCACACTGGCTCAGGCTTCACACACACAGCACACACACACCCAACACTGGCTTCACACGCCTGGCACACACGTGCACACTGGCTTGGCTGTACACACACAGCACACATACACCCAACACTGGCTTCACACGCCCAGCACACACATGCACACTGGCTCAGGCTTCACACACACAGCACACACACCGAGCACACACACACCCAACACTGGCTTCACACACCTGGCACACACTTGCACACTGGCTTTGGCTGTACACACACAGCACACACACAAACACTGGCTTCACACGCCCAGCACACACGTGCAGACTGGCTCAGGCTTCACACACACACACACACACACACACACACACACACAGCACACTGCCCCTCCCAACCAAGTGACTCGGAAGCCACCGGGTGCAGAAGTCTGAACCGTCATGGTTACAGTGTCACAAACACTGGCTTGCAGATGCCCGGCCACTTGACCAGTATCGCAACCTCCCAGGCCTGGAGGCCAATCTGTGGGAGGAGGGGTATGTCAGGGGAGGACAGGAACACAACCCCCACAAGCTCACTCCATCAGCCCTGCCTGGGAGCTCTCCAGGCCACTGGGAATTTGGAAAGGCCTGGGAGGGTTTGAGGATGAAGGCTCCAGCCCCAGGTCCCCAAGCTGAGACTGCAAAGGCCCCTCGGCCCCTTCATTCTGGCCTCAGTCTGTGAGGCCACAAGATATCCACTGCCTACCAAGGATCTCCTGGGATTTGTGGGTAGGGGAGGCAGGAGGGAGGGAAGGAGCCGGTGACCAGCTGTCTTCTTCAGAGTGGCTCCTGCCCCTTCCTGGCCCCCTCCAGCCTCTGCATGTGGGAGCTGCTTTCTTGGGCAGAGGGTGTCCCTGTGGCTGTGTCCCCACGTGCTGCATCTGTGTGTGTATCTGTGTATCTCTGTGTCTGCACATACTTGTGTCTGCGTGTGCCCATGTTTATGTGTTTCTGCGTGTGTCTGTGCTGTGTGTGGGTATGCCTGTGTGTGTACATGTGTGTTGTGTGTCTCTGGGTGTGTGCATGTGTGTTGTGTGTATACACACTCTGTGTGTGCATGTCTGTCTTTGTGCATGTGTGTTGTACATGCTGTGTCTTTTGCATGTGTGTGCATGTGTGTTGTATGTGCATGCTATCTGTGTGTTGTGTGTACCCACTCTGTATGTGCATGTCTCTTTGTGCATGTGTGTTGTGTGTGCACACGCTCTGTGTGTGCATATCTGTCTTTGTGCATGTGTGTTGTGTGTGCACACGCTCTGTGTGTGCATGTCTGTCTTTGTGCATGTGTGTTGTGTGTGTACACGCTCTGTGTGCATGTCTGTCTTTGTGCATGTGTGCTGTGTGTGTACACGCTCTGTGTGTGCATGTCTGTCTTTGTGCATGTGTGTTGTGTGTGCACACGCTCTGTGTGTGCATGTCTGTCTTTGTGCATGTGTGTTGTGTGTGCACACGCTCTGTGTGTGCATGTTTGTCTTTGTGCATGTGTGTTGTGTGTGCACACGCTCTGTGTGTACATGTCTGTCTTTGTGCATGTGTGTTGTGTGTGCACACGCTCTGTGTGTACATGTCTGTCTTTATGCATGTGTGCTGTGTGTACATGCTTGTGTGTGCATGTCTGTCTTTGTGCATGTGTGTTGTGTTGTACATGCTCTGTGTGTGTCTTTTGCATGTGTGTGCGTGTATGTTGAGTGTACATGCTATCTGTGTACGCGTGTGTGTGTATGCGCCTGTGACAGGATCAAAGCCTCCATGGCACTGGAAGGGGGCAGAGATTCCAGGAGGGGACTGAGTCCAAGGGTCCAGGTGAGAGGGACAGAGGCGCTGTGACAGTGGTGTTGGGGCAGGGACATGGACGGCAGCATGGTCGGGTCTGCGGGCTCTTGCTGGTGAGGCCTTGGGCAGGTGTTACCAGCACCATCCGGCTCTCGCCAGGTTTCCCTGTCCCTCCACTGAGGTGCCACGGGACAGGGTTTATGTGGGAACAGTTCAGGCACTGATGGGCCGGGTACCTGGGGAGGACTGGGTGGCTCAGAGGAGCCAGCATTCACCCCAGATGCTCCCTGGCCCCTGCAGCCCCTCCCACACGGCAGCCAGCACCCTGCCCTCTGCATTGGTCCACAGCAGGGGAGGAAGCCGCACAGTGTACCATCTCTGCACCTGCCCATGGGGTTCAGGGGCCTCCAGCCCACCTCCCGGGGATAGCCCCTCCATTATGTCAGGGTCCTGCTCCACACAGATGCAGGGAACCCCAGTCCTCTCTGGACTCCACAGCCCATGGGCCCTTCCTGAGTGGGTCCCTGTCCCCACTTCTTCCTCTTCAGGATGGGCGCAGAGGGACAGTAGAGGCTGCAGGCGTCCCACACCTCCAGCGCAGAGGGGCCACAGGGAGCCATGGAGAGCTTCATGGAGTCGCTGAACAGGTTGAAGGAGATCCACGAGAAGGAAGTCCTGGGTGAGGGGCCAGGGCAGATGCCGGGCCGGGGAAGAGTCTCGACAGCCTTCACCTAAGGGCCGGACAGGTCAGGGTGCACCCATGAATCACCTCTAATTCCCAACAAGCCAGAGGACAGACCCCATCTGTTTGGCCCAGACAGGGGAGTCCTGACCCAAGGCCCAGAGCTACAAGGTGGCCAGACACCCGCCCTGGGCCCCACAAGTGCTGCCCTCACACCGAATGTCCTCACACCACTCCCAGAGTGTGGCCCCGAGGGGAGGGGCACTCTCAAGGGTTGCCACCAACACCTCACAGCCACCTGCCACCCACAGGCCCCACACTGCACATGCTGTGTTCTCCCTGGGCCGGCCTCTAGTGTGGCAGAAAGAAATGTCCACCCTGGCCGCCTGCTGAGCTCACCAGGGTAGACACCGCTGCTTCCAGAAACAGGAGCTTATGGCTTATGGCTCCCACCCGGAGCACGTCAAGGCACTGAGCTGCAACTCTTCTCTTCCCTCTAGGACACGCCCCGGGCCCCATCCCTGTCCACCTCCCCCACCAGGGACACGCCTGCACCCCCCAGCCCCTCAGTCCAATCCCAGGGCTGGCACCTCCCCATGGTGTTTCCACTGAGCACCCACGCCCACCTGGAGGTCCAGGGACCTGGCTGCTTCCTAGACAACCAAGAGAGGTGGGGCTGCTGGGCCGAGCCTCCCCAACGCCCGCCCCAGTCCCAGGCTAGCCCAGCCTGGGCTGGATCCCCAAGGATGGGGTCTGGTGAGGTCTGCCCCAAAAGCTCATCTATTTCAACGCTGTGACACACACACACACACACACACACACACACACACACACACACACAATGGTCCCTCTCAGTCCCTCTGCCTTTCATAAGTGGCTAGTCATTCATGGCACTGGGGCCCCTGCCCACCCCCAGATAGATGTCAGAGCCAGAAACCCTAGGGGAAGCGACAGATGCTGGATCAAGACCACGGAACCTCAGGCAGCCCCAGACCTGGGTACAGACAGGCCCACCTGGCAGGGGAGCCTTGGGGAGTCAGGCAGGGCTTCCCCGGGGTGCAGGGGACAGGACTGCTACATTGCAGCTCTGCCCAGACCCGGTGGTGGGAGGCTTCAGGGAAGGCAGCAGCTGGGCCTGACCCCCTGTGACTCTGCTTGCTCCCCTAGGCCTGCAGAATAAGCTTCTGGAACTGAACTCAGAAAGGTGCCGGTGAGTCAGGCCAAGCAGGGGCCCTCCCCGAGGGGGCCACAGTGGCCATTTCATCCCCCTGAGGCATGGTTGTGCCAGCACTGCCACCATCCTATGGTGCAGAGGGGAAACGGAGGCTCAGCGTGAGGGCAGGAGGGAGTCACTTGTCCAAGGTCACACAGCAAGCAGGCAGGGAAGCCAAGACTTGAACCCGAGTGCATTGGCCTCCCAAGAGCAGGGCAAGCCCCCTACTCGGGCCTCTCCCACCCAAGGGTCATGATCAGAATATCAACAGTACGTTGGTGATGAGCTGAGGTCATGTCTGCCATATACTGGCGGGCAGGAAGGCTCCCCATGTTTCAGGCTCCCCATGTTCCGAGCTCATAGACCCAGCTGTGGCTCTGCCTGCACCACAGCGATAAAGTGGTGCATGGACAAGACAGATGTCACAGCCCAGGCACAGTGGCTCACACCTGTAATCCCAGCACTTTGGGAGGCTAAGGCAGGTGGATCACGAGGTCAAGAGATCAAGACCATCCTGGCCAACATGGTGAAACTCCTGTTTCTACTAAAAATACAAAAATTAGCTGGGCATGGTGGTGCGCGCCTATAGTCCCAGCTACTGAGGAGGCTGAGGCAGGAGAATTGTTTGAACCCAGGAGGCAGAGGTTACAGTGAGCTGAGGTCTTGCCACCGCACTCCAGCCTGGCCCCTGGCGACGAAGCAAGACTCTGTCTCAAAAAAAAAGACAGACAGCACAGAGGGGCAGGCAGATGACTGGGGAGGGCTTCAGGTTAGGCATTGCCCCCACAGGGCCTGCTTCAATTGCAAGTCCCCACAGGGTCCAGACCCAGACCAAGGCTGTGGGTGCCAGAGGGCGCTAGCCCCAGGCTGGACGGTGGGGACGGCAAGATCCTCCCACTCCCCGCTGTTTCCCGCCACAGAGATGCCCAGAGGATTGAGGAGCTCTTTGCCAAGAACCACCAGCTCCGGGAGCAGCAGAAGACACTGAAGGAGAACCTGCGGGTGCTGGAGAACAGGTGGGCCTGGGAGGGTGCCTCACAGTATGGCCAGGACAGGGGGCTCCTCGAAGAATGTTCGGGAAACTCCAGGATACCCTGAACCAAGAAGGTTTCTCCATTGCAGGACTTCTCCAGAGCCTTAAGTCAATTGTATTTTCAAGATTTCTACCCAAACTCAGTGGGACATGGGACATGGGGTGGGAAGAGGCCTGGGGCTCCACAGAAAAGGTTGGGAAGGGCAGATGCAGTCCCCAGCAGTGGGGCAGTGAGAGTCCCAGGCCCTCTGCAGCCTCCGTGCCATCCCTGACCCCCGCCTCCCCACCCTGCAGGCTGCGGGCCGGCCTGTGCGACCGCTGCATGGTCACCCAGGAGCTGGCCAGGAAGCGGCAGCAGGAGTTTGAGAGCGCCCACCTGCACAGCCTGCAGCGAATCTTCATCCTCAGTGAGTCCCGCCCGCCCGGCCACCAGGGTCCTCTCCCTCAGGGCCAGGCGACCCTGGAGCCTGCTCAGCCCGTGTAGGGGAGTGGGGAAAGGAGGCAGGGCCATCGGTCTCACACCACTGGGGGGACCTCACAACCCAATTTACAGACAAACATACACAGCCCGCAGCTGGCTCTGGCATGGCCCTCCCTCAACACAGCCTCGCTCGCCGGGGCTGCTGGCATCCCTTGCCCTCAGAGGGCATGACGTCCTCCCTGTGATGAGGACGTCCTGAGGCCCCAGTAGCCCTCCTGATGACCAAGGGCAAGCTCCCTTCCCTCAAGACCGCACTGCCCATTCAATGGCATCCAACCAGCCACTCATGCAGCCAGCATCCACTGCGCAACTGCTGCCTGCCAGGCCCCGGGCCACATGCTGGGGCTACTGCTGAGGGGCTTCCCTGGTGCTGTTATGACCCTACCCCTGACCCTGTCCCTCCCACCCCTGGCTGCTTTGCTAATCAGTGCCTTTTGCAGCCAACGAGATGAACACGCTGAAGGAGGAGAACGAAACCTTGAAGGAGGAGGTGAAGCGGCTTCAGGGGCTGGGGTGAGTGGGAAAGGGCACCGGGGCTCAGACACCGAACCCCTAGCACCCCCCAGCAGCACTCAGCGCACTTCCCTAGGGAACTGCCATGGAGGGCTTTCAGGCAGCATCAGGGGAGCTATGTCCCCTGAGGTCACCCAGGAGGGGGCCCAGCTTTTCTGATCATCTGGGGACGTTGCTATCCTTCACCCTCACTGTCTTTACCTCCCCTCCAGAGATAGGCCCAAGCCCCCAGCCAAGGAGAGCACCTCAGATCCCCCCTCACCCCTGCTGTTCCCCTCCCCTGGCGGTTGGAAGGCCATCACAGAGAAGCCACCGGGAGGCCACGAGGAGGCTGAGGAAGACCACCAGGGCATGGGTCCACGGGGAGAAGGTGCTGTGGGAACTGGCTGGGGCTGAGGGACTGGGACCCCGCAGGACCAGAGACCCTTTGCCTGGGGCTGGACTGCTGTCCCTCTGAGCACCTCCCAAGCTCTCGACCCTGGCCTCTCCTCCCACAGAAAAGCCAGCGGGGCACAGGGTATCTCCAGTGGCCAAAATCTCCCCAGGTGCCACCCTGCCTGAGCCGCGGGCCCCAGACATGGTAAGGGCAGGAACCTAGAACCCACCAAGCACAGCTGGGTCAGTGCAGGCAGGAGGCTGGAGGAGACTGCACCCACAGCATGCCAGCCTTCCATGTGCCTCACCCCAGATGTGCCCCTCCTTCATCCTGGGCAGGAGCCACCGTGCTCCATCTGGCGTGGGTAGGGGTGCAGCTCTGAGAGGGTGGGTCCGGCAGTGAGCAGGGGCAGACTGGGAGCAGCCTAGGGCAGGCGGCAGAGGCCACGCTGCCCCCACCCAGGCTGACCCGCCCAGCAGAGGCCACGCTGCCCCTGCCCAGGCTGACCCGCCCATCCTCACAGAGCCCCCAGCGCATCTCCAACCAGCTGCACGGAACCATCGCTGTGGTTCGTCCTGGGTCCCAGGCCTGCCCTGCCAACCGTGGCCCCACCAATGGGACACCCCCACCAGCACTCACTAGAAGCAGCCCACCCAGCCCAGCATACGAGCGCAGCCTCCCTCTGGACAGGTGCCTTCCCACCCCAACCCCACCCAGAGTGGCCTTAGACCAGCTCTTCTCTCAGCCCCTGGTCCCAGGGCAGTCCCTTCGATTATCCCTCAGAGCCCCCAACCTTCTCTGGCTTGGCTCTTTCTGGGCACCCAGCCTGGAGCAGAGTTCCCATGTGGACACCTCCAGAGTGGCCAGGCCTGGTGTGGGGGCAGGGTATGGGGACATTGTCAGAGGACAAGTGGGGTGTGGAGGCTGGGCAGGTGGCCAGGACCCTCCAGGTGAGGAGCAGGGGGCTGATGTCCCTGCCAAGACATGGAGGCCTCAGCACTGGCCCCGCCTTAGAGCCCAGACCACAGGCCACCTCTTCACAGCCTCTGAAGCAGGGCTGAGCCTCCCCTTCCTCCACTACTGGCCATGGGACCCTGCAGCTTGCTCCACCCCTCTAGGCCTCAGTTTCCTCGCCTGTGGAGTGGGGTGCCTGTTGTCTCTCCCCCTCAGGGCTCACTCGGACAGTCACGGCTCACCACAGCCTTGATCACGGCTTCTCTCTCACAGCTTCCTGCGGGCCTCCCGGCCCTCCACAGTGACCCACGAGGCCCTCAAGTGCTCCCCAAAGGTGGACCGGCTCTGCCTCCTCAACTGCCCCCTGTCTCTGCACCTTGGGAGCCCCCGCAGCAGCCCCCTGGCCCCTGCTGAAGGCCCCCGAGACCCCCGACTCCAGGACCGGAAGGCCAGAGAAGGAGAGGCCTGGGAGGAGCCCACAGACCTGCTGGGGCTGCCCGGCTCCCTGGCAGGCATGCAGGACCTTCGCCTGGAGGGGGCGCTGCACCTGCTCCTAGCTCAGCAGCAGCTTCGGGCTCGGGCCAGGGCGGGCAGTGCCAGGCCAAGGGACCAGCCCACACCCAGGGAGACGCTACCCTCCCCACCAGTCGGCTTGGACTCAGAGGGCCCTGAGAGCGAGGGGGCCAGGGCCACTCCAGCCACAGCAGTCCTGCCTGGAGGGCGATACACACAGCCCGCCAGCCCAGGCCGCGCCCAGAGGACGGAGGCTACAGTCACACAGGACTGTGCCCCAGACAAGCCCCTGGACCTCTCGGATCGGGGCCGGGGCCGGGATGCCCCCAAGCCAGCTGGCCAGCCTGGGTCACTCAGCCCTACCACTGCCCACGCTCCTAGCCCCGAGCCACCCACCCAGTCCAGACCCCTGATTCGCAGCCCTCAGCCACTCAGCAATGGCACCAAGGGGACCAGAGCACCAGAGCAGGACGAGGCCAGCACTCCCACGGTAAGGAGCCCAGCCCCGGCTCAGACACCCCCTTGCCCCCACCCCTGGCTACCCTCTAGCCAGACCCTGGGCTGCTCTCTGCCCTCTGCCCAAGATGGTTCCCAGGGAGAAAGTAAGGCTGCCTCATTCACACTAGAAAGGGAAAGGGTGGCCCTGCCCAGCTGCAGCCCCAGGTGGGGTCCCATAGGCTGTCCAGGGCTGAGTTGGGGGCAGGGAAGTCTCCCAAATAAACTCAAGCCACGTACGTGCCTCCCCACAGGACCCCTCATGCCCATTTCCAGGGCCCCAGCTCGGCCTGTCCTCTCTAGGCAGGACAGGAGATGAAGACACAGGGAGGCCTCAGCCGCCTCCGCACCCACAACCACCTGACCCGGATGGCCACTCAGGTACAGTGAACACCTAGGGTCAGAATCCAGCTGGGAAGTGTTTTCCCCAAGGGGAGAGCGGGTGGTGGTCAGCGCCCACTGTGAGGGGTGTCTCCAGGCCCAGCAGGCAACCCCAGGCTCCTGGGCTTGGCTCTTCCACCCACAGACACAGGAGGAAGCTGAAAGCCCCACAGGAGCTTCTGGAACCACACTCAGTGAGGGGAAAACCACCCTAGCAATGAGGTCTGGCAGGCAGGCGGTGAGCCCCTCAGCAATCAGGGCAGGCAGGCAGTGAGCCCCTCAGACGGCATCCAAGCTGGGGGCAGGCACCCCAGCTGACAGGGACTCTGGGCCTGGGCCCAAACCCCAGTCTGCCTCCAGTCATCGGGCACCCTAGGGCAGGTCACTTGGCCCTCTGTGCCTCAGTTTCCCCATATGCAGAGTTGGCTCCACCCATCCTAGTCTGGCAGGCTCGGGAGACTCCCGGGGGGCACCAGTCTGGCCCGACCCACCCCCTGCATCCTTCAGGACCCAGCAAGGTTGAAGTGCCGAGTCCAGAGTCCGACGAACTAGAGGCAGACACACCAGGCAGCGAGGTGGGTCCCGGGCCACACACTCCGCAGGACTGGGAGGTGCTCCTCCCCGTGACCACACCCCCTTCTCCCCGGCCACACCCTCGGCAGGGCGGGAGGTGCTCCTCCCCCTGACCACACCCACTTCTCCCCAGGCTGGCCTGAGCTCCCAGACTGAGGCCACTACGTGCAAGCCCAGGGAGGGGCCCGGGTGCATCTGCGCCCAGGAGCACAAGCAGGGTCTGCCTCGGAAGAGGAAACGAGCCTCGGAGCCCGAGGACAAAGGTACAGACGGCACCGGGCAGGCTCGGGACAGGTGAAGGGACGGGGCCAGGGGAGCCGCGGCACCAACTTCTCCACAGTGCCACCCGCTCCTGGCTGCCTGGAGAATGGCAGCCTCAGAATGATGGAGCCAAAAATGAACCTCAAACCTCCCGAAACAAACCCTGAAGAGGACGGGGCTTGGCCGGGGGAGTCTTGCCTGTGCAACGGGTGACTGTGGCCCAGTGTCGGGTCCCTCCAGTCCGAGCCTCAGTCTCCTCGCCTGTAGGGAGCTGACATTTGGGTTCAGGAGATTTCAGTGAGAAGCGGGCAGGGGATGGTCATTGCTCCACTGTTGTCCTGGGAGGAAGGGTGTCCTGGTGCACAGGACAAGCCCCTGCCATGAAGGGCAGACCCCCAAGGCCTCTTGTCCACCTGTAGACAGGGGCAGCGCAGAGGGCATGTTTGCTCCCCCGGGGAACTGGGGATGGCTCCAGTGTTTGCCAAGGGTGGTGTCCTTGGGCCCAGCTCCTTCTGATAAGGCGGGCAGGTGCCTCAGCCCTGGTCCGAGGGTATCAGGATGACTTTTCACTTCCTGCTTTGGGCACAGTGGCAGCTCCAGCTCATGAGCGCCCATGAGTGCCTGTGAACACCTAATCGTGTGGCCCTGGTGTTGGTCAGGCAGGGTCCGCAGGCAGCCGGCAGGGTGGTGCCACCACCATGTGCCATTGTTGCTGCAGACGGAGTGGCCCAGGTCTGCCGGGAGAGGTGGTGGAGGCCAGCATGGCCTTATCGGAGGCACTTCCTGCTGAGTGGGTGGAAACATGGAAATGGCCCCAGGGGTGCAGCCTGTGAGCCAACCCCCCTGCCATCGCAGTGTGTTCCTACGTGAGCCAAGGCCAGGGATGCTGGCAGGGGCTCCTGAGACACCACAGTGGCACTCAGTGAGAGCAGGGCCCTGCCCAGCATGGGCACAGCTCAGGGCCACAGCCAGCACCCTTGTGCCTGTCGCCCCGAGAGAATGGGTGCAGCTGTTGCTGCCTGTGGCCTCAGACCCTGCCCAGCAGACAGGATCATCACTGTTTGGCTGGTGCAGAGATTGAGGCTGAGAGGGGAGAGGTCACTTGCCTGAGGTCACAGGGCTGGAATCTGGGTCAGGATTCAAACCTTACCCATTCAGCTCAGAGCCTGAGCTCCCTGTGCCTCCAAAATGGCCTGGGCCCAGCATCTCAGCAGGATCCCCATCCCCGGACCATCGCAGGGACCAGGCGCCCCTCCCCTATGGCCCTAGCCCCGGGCCAGGCCCCCGGAGGCCACAGCCAGTATCCGGCCTGCCAGTATGACCTGGCTCCCTGCGAGGCAGCAAGGGGGCCTCTGGGGTCAGCACCTGTCTTCAGGGTCACACAATGGGGAGAGTGTTGTGACCCAATTCTCAGGGCTCACCGTCAGATCAGGCTACTCCTGGGCACTGCTTTCTGTAGGAACAAGGGTGGCCAGTGAAACCCCAGGGCTGGCCCTGGAGCACCCAGCTCCCTGTGCCCAGAGGAGGCCCAGGAGGCCCTAGGTGAGAGCCAGTGTCACTTCAAAGGAAGACACACAGGGCCACCCTGGCCCCTCCTGACCTCCAGCTGCTTCCCATAGCCTCCAAAAAGCCTTCCAGAGGGAGAAGGAAACTGACAGCTGCTGAGGGGCCCGCGAGCCCGAGGGACAACGAGGACCACAGTCCCTCCCCCAGCACCAGCCCCTGGGAGGAGACCTAGCCAGCCTGCACTGGCGTCCACAGCAAGCTGGGGCAGCCTCCACCTGCCCAGCAGGGCCTGGAGAGGCCACACCACCCAACCAGCAGACAGCCCCAGGGAGGGGACCCAGCCAGCTCCAACCGGCCCCACAGCAAGACCACCAAGGCCCAGAGAGGCCACACCACCCGACCAGCCGACAGGGACCCAGCCAGCCCAAACTGGCCCCACAGCAAGCCCACCAAGGCCCGGAGAGGCCACACCACCCAACAGGGACCCAGTCAGCCCAAACCGGCCCCACAGCAAGCCCACCACGGCCTGGAGAGGCCACGCCACCCAACCAGCAGGTCAGGAGAGGGGCTGGAGGACCAAGAGGGGTCTCAGGCTGGTGATTCACCCCTCCACCCTCCTGGGAAATGCTCTTCGGCCCCTCCCCGAGCCCAGCACCTGCTCCCTGGGAGTGCAGGACCAGGAGGCAGGATCACTCAGGCCCCACCCCTACTGTGCATTGCAGCTCTTCCCAGGCAGTGCCCACGCTCTGGGAGGCAATGGACCACCCGGCCCCCACCCCTGCCCACCATGCTCTGAGCACAGTCTTGGATACCCTCTCATGGGTTCTGGGCAAGTGAGCAGTGAGGGTGGAGGGAGGTGGTAGGCGGCGGAGCCCTCGAAGACAGGGGCCCCTGAATGCCAGAGAATAAACCCGTCAAGAACAACGTGTGTTTGGCAGGGCTGGGGTCAGCCGGGCCTCCTCCCGCCTGTGCCCCAGAAGGTGCCTGACTGCACCAGGGACCAGGGGGTCACCCCCTTGCAGGAGGGCAGAATGAAACCAGCTCCTCTGTGTTGTCTGCAGCAGGAAGGGACCAGGGTGCCTCGGGGAAGCACCTGACAACGGTGGCGGGCACGTGCATCTGTCCATCCTCACTAGACCCTGCCTGGCAGCCGCGGCGCAGTTCACCAGCACTTCACCAGGAGCACTCAGGGCTGTCTGCTCCTCTAGGGAGGACAGGTCTTGGTGCTCCCAGCACCATGGGAGGAGCTTAAGAAACAGATTCCTGGGCCCAACCCCAGAACCACTGAACCAGGACCTTGGAGGTGGGCCTGGAGTCTGTTTTAAGAAGCTCCCAGGGGTAGCTCTCCTAAACGTGAAGTTTAGTGGGCAAAGGAGCTGCAGCACCAGGTCATGGCCAGTGTTGGGGAATGGGGAGGAGAGCAGGTGTCCCTGGGAGGTCAAGGCAGGTGGCACCTGCAAGTGAATTTGGGTGCTGAGGGATGAATAGGAGTGTGCCAAGTAGACAAGGGGCTGGGATGTTATGGGAAGTTTGCTGAAACCCCAACTCTAGAAAAGTGGACAAGGATCGGTGGAAGAAAAGGTGGGGGCTCCGGAGGGGCCAGGCCATGGCGGAAACTGGGAAGTCAGCCTGAGGGCCAGGCCTGCAGTCGGGGCATCCAGGCAGAGCCCTGCACTTGACACCTGCTCACAGCTCATGATGTAAGCCAAAGAAAATCAGGAGTGACACTCATGAGCAGGGCCCTCTGTGGCCACAGCACCAAGGTGAGCTGGCATTTAAAACTCACTTGTCACAGGGACGGCAGGACACACTGAAACTCTGATGAGGCTCCTCTGCAGCCAAGCACCAAGGTGAGCCAGGCGTTTAAAACTCACACACCATAGGTATGGCAGGACATGGGCCCACGACGGGGCTGGGTGAGGTCTGGGCCACACTGGGGGTGTGGGCCTGGCTCCAGGGCACTGCCTTCCCACCTCCCACCTGCAGCCTGTGGCCTGAGAGGCAGGAGGGACTGAATTCCCAAGAGGGCAGTCCAGATGTGTTAAAGGTTGCTTTGAGTTCTCCAGAATCACATGAAACAAAAGCTGTGGGTCCCTACATGCCACCTGCAGGCCACCCATCGACATCCTGGGGAGCCTAGCAAGGGGGTTCCCCAGGCCCCAGAAGAGAAACCCATTCCTCCTTCAGCATTTCTCCCGGACCCTCAAAGTGAAGCTTAGCGGCAGCAAAGGAGAATCCACTGGGGCCCTCCCTCTTGCACAGCCGACCACCAGGGCCTGGCGCTGGTGCATAACTGACGCCTGCCTCCTGCCCTCTGCCCTCACTTGCCCCTTTCTGTTCTCACCTGGCACCAGACTCTGCAAGCCACGAGTGATTGGCCCACCCTCCCCTGTGAGTCCCCTCCTCCTGCTCACAGCCAGCAGGGAGGGAGGGATGGAGGACCTGCTGTGCGCCTACGCCAGCCTAAGCACCTTACAGCGCTGGTCAAAGTCCCCATTCACGGGAGCCCCCAGACACACACAGGCAGCACCCCGTTCTGTGGATCCACAATCCGCAGCCACCCATGTGCCATGCCAGCCAACACAGTGACTCCCCCAGAGGGGTTATCAATGTGCAGTCTTTCTATTTCTTGGGAACCCACTCCCAGGAGTGCCTGCTGAGACACACCTGCTCCCCACCCAATACCTGGGCCCAGCCCCAAATTCTCCTGCACAGGACAGCTGCCCACTGTCCCCTAGGCCTGGCAGAGGCCTTGGAGGCCAACTTAGAAGGGCAGATGGAAAGGAAGCGGAGGGACTGTGTGCTGCATGAGCCTTCATGTGGCCCATGAAGGCCCACAGGAGAGAGAAGGGCGAGTGGGAGGTGGGGAGGGACCTGAAGGGCAGGGGCCCAAGCTGCAGGTGGTGATAAAGACCCTGTCTCGCCCATATGTTCACTGCTGTGTTGGCCATCATGCTGCCTCCCCACACTCCAGGCACTCTGGGGCCAGTGCTGTGCCTGTCGGTCCCACCCAGTCCCCAGCACCAGCACAGCAGAGACTGGGCATGTGGGGCAGGTGCCCAGTACTGCAGTGCATTTGCGGGCTGACCCTGGCAAGTGCCTGCCCTCCAGCCATAGCCCACCCCTTCACTAAGCCAGTTTCATCCTGACTATACTCTTAGGCTAAAATCATCATCCCTTCTTTAAAGATACATAAACCCACAAAAGAAAGTTGGAAAGAGCAGGCAGGGGGCACAGAGGTGAGTGCCAGGCCCCAAGTCCCTCCACAAAGATACAGTGGATTCCCCTCCAAAATGCGGGCAGGCTCCCAGGCCCCAGAGGCAGCTCCTGAGTGTCTGGGCACGGCCAGCTCGTGGCTTCTGAAGTCAAGGACACCTGGGGACAGAGAGGAAATAGGCCTGGGCACAAGGCAGGCTCAAGGTCACTTTGCTACTGCAGGAAGTGCAGAACTCTGCCCGCCCGGGGCTTCCATCCCAATCATGTGCCTTGTTCACTCAGACCCTCGGTCCCTTCCATCAATGAAGGAGGCCAGGTCGCAGGCCGGCCATTCCGGGAAGCGGTGGGGCTCCTGAGTGGCCGCCCTGCGCTCGCTGAAGCACCGCCCAGACACACCTGAGGACAGGGAAGTGTGCTGGGTTTCGCCCACGCTGCCCTGAGTCCGGAGCCTTAAAATACGTGCTTGATGGAGGCTGACCACGAAAGCCGCCGTCCAACAAAGGAAACAGAAGGCCGGAGCCACGCGGCCGCGGCTCCCGATATGGGGACTCGAACCGGCGGCACGGGGCGCAGTTTCCGACTCCCAACGCCTGCGCCTGACGGCCTCTAGGACCCAGGGGAGCGCCCCTAGTGCGGCACCGCGCTTGCCAATGGGCGGGCGCGACGGCGATATATTTGCATGTGGGCGCGCCGCGGCCAATGGGCGCCGGGCGCGCGGGCGCGCGGGCAGGGGGCGGGGTGCTTCGCGGCGGCGGGCGCAGTCTAAGGATGGCCGCGGCCGCGGCGGGTGGAACCCCGGGCCCGACCCCCGGCCCCGCCGGGCCCCCGTCTCCCGCCGCGCCGCTTTCGGCCGCTCGGGCCCCGCCGCAAGCTCTGCGGAGGCGCGGGGACTCGCGGCGCCGCCAGGCCGCGCTCTTCTTCCTTAACAACATCTCCCTGGACGGGCGGCCCCCGAGCCTGGGCCCCGGCGGAGAGAAGCCCTCGACGCCGCCCGCCGAGACCCGCGAGCCGCCAGCGCCGCCGCCGCCGGAGCCCCCCTCCGGCCTGCCTGGGCTGCCCGCCAGGACCCCCGCGCCCCAAGGCCTGCTCAGCCCCACGCAGGCGCCCGCCGGCCTCGGCTTGGATGGGCAGCGCCAGAGGTAAGTGGGGGCCGGGCCAGGTCAGCTCAGGACGACGGGGACAGGGACAGGGATGGGGGCCGGGTCAGCAGCTCAGAACCAGGGGTCAGGGTCACCTGGGGCCTCATCAGCCCAGGACACGGGGGTCAGGTGACCTGGGGCCTTGTCAGCCCTGGCCACAGAGATTCAGGTGACCTGGGCCCCCATCAGCCCAGGACACAGGGGTCAGGGTCACCTCGGGCCTCATCAGGCCAGGACACAGGGGTCAGGTGACCTGGGGCCTTGTCAGCCTTGAACACAGGGGTCAGGGTGGCCTAGGGTCTCATCAGCCCAGGACACAGGAGTCAGACTGGTCAGGAGATCCAGCAGCCCAGAACGAGGGGTCAGGGTCATCTAGGGTCTCCTCAGCCCAAAACAAGGGGCTCAGGTGATGTGGGGCCTTGTCAGCCCTGGACACAGGTTCAGGTGACCTGGGTCCCTATCAGCCCAGGGCACAGTGGTCAGGGTCACCTGGGGCCTCATGAGGCCAGGACAGGGGTGAAGGTGGCCTGGGGACCCAGCAGCCCAGGACAAAGAGGTCAGGTGAGCCAGGCCCTCGTCAGCCCAGGACACGGGTTGAGTTCACCGGGACCTTGTCAGTCCTGATACAGAACTGGGGGTTCTGGGGCTCTGCTGAGGGTTTCCCCAGGCCCTATCAGCCCCCACACATAGGGTTCCTGTTCCCTGAATTCTGTCAGCCGCTGGATATGGGGTCGGAGTCTGCGTGTTGTCAATCCTCTGAACATGGCTTTCGGGGTTCATGCAGCCCTGAGGACTTCTGAGACCCCCGCCCTATGGGCTCTGGACGTGCCCCACCCCCTGCGCTGGTACCAGGGTTGTACACAGAAAACCCCTGTGCATCTCCTCGCGTTCTCTGAGCCGGGTCATGCCCTCCGTGCCCACCTCCTCAGAACCAGCATGTGGGCTGGGACCCTCCCGGCACTGTCACTGACACCTGTTCCCAGAGCCCCCTACACAGCCAGACCTCCCATCCCACAGCAGCTGGTCTCTGGCACCCCTCCCCTCCCTGTCACCTCCCTGCTGACCCCCGCCTGCCCCCCATCACTCTCAGCTCGGTGTCTTTGGACCTGTTACACCCTGGGTCTGCTATTGCTCCCCCTGTCCTGATTGCACTTCTGCAAACCCCATCAGCCCGTCCAAGGGCAGCCCCAACCATGAGCCCTGCCTGTCCAGTGTGTGCCCCCTGCCCAGGTGACCCCTGGCTGCCAGACGCCCTGTGTCCTTCTCCCAAAGAGCACAGGCCCTTGGTGACCCTGCCTTCTGGGCCCCGGGGCTATCCCACCCCACAGCCCTCACCCTGAGGAGTGACTGTGGGCCCTAGGCCCAGGACTGGCTGCTTGTGATTCCTTTTCAGAGGGAGCCACTATCCACAGGTCCCTGCGCCTACTGGACGGTTGTGCCTGGAGCAGCCCCTGCAGGTGTGCAGTGAATGGGCTGCCACAGATCTTGGGTCAAGGCTGTCACGGGCTCCGTGGTTACCTGCAGGTCATCAGAGTTACCCCATACCTCTGGCCTTCAGGCAGGTCGCGGCGTTGGGTTCCTTTAAGGTCTTTGGTTGAGGAAGGTTGGGCCCAGAACACAGCACTCTGTCCTCAAAAACTGTGACATCACATGCAGGTTGCATCACGCAGGTCGCAGAGCACTCAACCTTGGAAGTGCTCCTGGCCACAGCCAGGCTGAGGGTGCCTGCAGAGCCAGGCCTGTCCACAAGATGTCCCCCCAAGGACATGCCTGGCCACCACTCCCAGGAGGGCCAGGGGGGTGACTGGGGCGGAGGGATGAATGGGCACGTGCACTTGGCCAGCTCCTTCGGGGAAAGCACGAGAGATGGAACCAGAGGGCACCCTCCAGGGTGGAACAGCAAGGCCCCGGAGTGTGGGCTCCAGGGAAGTGGGCTCACCCCAGCGGCCCAGGTCCACAGGTGCGGGTGCTTTACCTTAACCCTGGGCCCTGCTGTTTGCTATGGAAACAGCTTTCTCCTTCAGTCCTGCGTTGAGTGCTCAGAACCGGTGGTGATGCCAGGCAGGCCGGGTGCTGTCACAGGCTCTCCTTCCACAGAGTTCATGCAGCCCTGTGTGCACCAGGCCTGGCGTGGAGTGGAGCCCACTCTCGGGCGGCAGGGCGCGGCAATGCTTCGGGGAAGGGCCCATAACTGAGGAGGCATCTCCTGCAGGGGCCTCCGTGCCAGCAGTCCTGAGCATGGCATGTGTGGCACGGCCCTGCCCTGTGGGGTTCCAAGAGGGTGCGCTGCGGCCAGCATCCCTGGCACAGGATGGGACGTGGTCCTCCTGCAGTACCCACCGTGGTCCTCTGCGCCCCCACACCTTGCCTCACCCAGGGCTGTCTCCTCCCTTCCCTCCTGGGCCTCCTTCTCCCTGCTCAGGTCTTTCCTGAACCCTGAGCTGTTCCTGGATGGGAGGGCTCTGCTGCCGGGGCTGTCCCTGCTGGGGCTCTGCTGCCGCGTTCATGGTGCTGACCTGTGTCTGAGGGTTGTGGCCCCTCTCCTGATAGGTGGCCCCTCTCCTGATAGGTAGCCCCCAGCGTGAGGACATCCATTTCTCCCTGCGTTCCCTGGGCCTGGCTGCTGAGCGAAGGAAGGGCAGCTGCCCCAGCAAAGGGGTGCTGGCTCCTGGCTTGAGTTCTCTAATGAGTTGATTTTGGGAGGCGGAGAGAGTTCTGGAAGCCCTGACATCAATATCGTGAGCATGGGGTCTTGACCAGCTCTTGGAACAGACCTGGCTTGGAATCCCAGCGCACTGTTCAGTAGCTCTGTGTGAGCAGGTGGCATAGCCTCAGCCTCGGCTCCTCTGAGAAGCAGGTTCACACTGAGCACCAGGCGTGGCCTCCCTGAGGTCAGAGGTCAGATGCAGGCCCAGGGCTGGGCAAGGTGTCTGGCGGGAGTCAGTGTGGGGTGAGCAGAGCCTCTTATTTTCTTTTTTTGAGACAGGGTCTCTCCCTATCTCCCAGGCAGGAATGCAGTGGTGAAGTTTTTATTTTAGGAGAGATGGGGTTTCACTATATTGTCCAGGCTGGTCTTAAACTCTGGCTCAAGTGATCTGTCTTGGCCACCCAAATGCTGAGATTTCCAATGGGAGCCACCACACCAGGCAGACCAGCCTCTCGTCACTCGGTCCCCAGGAGAGTTATTCTTTCCCAGGGAGGCTCAGCCTGTGCGGTGCTTTCTGTTGTGTCAGTGAGTCATCGGAACCCTTGTTTTCCTCGTAGAACTTCCAACCAGGTTTATTTTCACTTTTAACATTGCCTTTGCCTGATGCCCAAAAGCAAGTGGGGGGACCCAGCCGGGTTAGAGCAGGTGCGGGGTTCTCCGCCTGCCGCCCCCTCCTCCTACCAAACCCAGTGGCCCACAGCACTGCAAACGTGTTGCCTCTCCCGGTTCTGGAGGCGCAGCCTCAAGGTGTGGACAGGACCCCACTCCCTCTCAGGCTCCAGGGAGGATCCTCCCTGCCTATTCCCACCTCTGGTGGCTCCAGGGCTCCGGGCTTGTGGCCGTGCAGCTCCAGCCTCTGCCTGAGCGCCGTCCTGTTCCCACATGTCTGAGTCTCCATGTGGCGATTTCCTCACAGGAGTTCCAGTCATTGGATTAGGACTAACCCTGTGACATCTTAACTCGATGACATGACATGTGCCAAGACCCTCTTTCCAACTGAGGCCCATTTACAGATACTGGGATTAGGACTTCCACTTGTCTTTTGGGGTGATACGGTTCCACCCACAACAGCCCCAGTCAGTGTCCACAGCACTAAGGACTTGGCAGTGGTGCCCCCCTTCCCCCCTTCCCAAGCAAACAACTTTCCCCAAGTTGTAGCCACATGTGGCCCAGCCAGGAGCCAGGGTGCAGCCATCAGCAAGAGAGCCTGCTCTGTTAGCTGGGAGCAGAGCCCCCGCTTCTGGAGGGTGTGTGCCCAGACGCTTCTAGGGAAAGGCCTGGGGCGGCAGCTGTGGGACAGGCTGCTGTCTGGGCCAGGAGCCACTCAGTGTCACCAAGCTGCTGTCCAAGTTAAACCAATTTCAGTCTGGCATCTGGCGCTTGTTTACAAGCCTGATTTGGGGGTTTCTTGCTCTCCAGCTGGCAAGCAGCTGGCAGTGGTCAGCTGAGGCCAGAGCCTGGGGGCACACCTCTTGTGGCAGCCCAAAGGCCACTCAACACCCCCAACTCTGCCCAGCCCTGTGACACCACATGAATGCTTTCGCTGGGTGAGGCTGTAGGCCCCTGAGGGAGTGCTGGACTGGATGAGATGGGGCACCCGAGACCAGCCATGCATTCAGTACCATGCCGCCAGGGTCGGTGGCCTGCCAGGTGCGTGGGCCAGGGGATAGGGCTGGGGGTAGCCAGACAAAACCACTGCCCACACTCAGAGCTGGGGGCAGCCGCAGAGCACCACTGCCTGAGCTTTCCTGGCGAGGGAGAATTCCGGTCTCGGTGCTGCAGTGGGCGCACCATGGGGCAGGAGCGGCCGCTTGGTGGAGAGACCCAGCTATTGTCACGCTGTCAGACCTACCGTCAAGGGCATTTCCACGCCCCTTTGCCTGGCCAGGCCTGCTGAGTTTCCTCTGAGCCACAGCAGCTCCTGCACACAGCTTTGGGTTGCTAATGGGGATGGGGCGTCAGGCCTCCCTCTTCTGCGCATTTCTTCCCTTACAAAGGAAAGGAAGTGTAGGGAGCACTGGAAGCAGTGTTTAATCAGGAGCAGATTTTTCTTCCTGTCTGTGAGCATGACTTTGAGTGCAGGCGTGGTGGCCCGCCGCTTAGTGCTGAGAGTGAGGTGTGCCCGCACATAGGGGGCAGCCTCCCTGCCACCCCAACCCCTTCTTCCCAAAAGTCAGATGCAGGCAGCTTCCAGCTGGTCCCTGCCACTGCGGTGTTAGGGGAACCACAAGTAGGTACCTCCGGTGTATCTACCGTGGCTCAGTGGAGGCGGGCCCTCACAGGACTCAGCAGG